TCAAGTAATATAGTTATATAAACAAGATTTTTCCTTTTTAGTATTAAAGCAAATTATATCATATTCCTAGTAAAATTAGAGGCCAAACTTTCCAAAAAAGATATTCCTCCTATTATATAAATAGATTTGGAATTTTTTATCTTTGAAAGATTCAGGGATTTTTTATTATTAATTAGATATCAAAAAGGATTCGAAAGAGGATTTTTGATTAGAGATCTTGGCAGCAAAGTCGTATACATTTTTGAAATTGATGTTACTGGATGAGAAGGTTATTATAAACCTGATTGAATTATTCTTTAATAACTGATTAGGCTATATATTCAATATTGAATTGTTTTTTAGTGATTAACTGGGTTGTATATTCAATATAATATTTTTTGGTGATAGCTTTAAGTATAATAAGCAAATTTCAAAGAAAATACTAAGCAACGGAGTCGGTATCTTTTATATTAAGTAGATTGATTAGTAGGGTTGGGTTTTGGAAAGGGATATCAGAAGTGAGTATATCAATAATATAGGGTTAATTTTAGAATATTTGATAAATATATACAATTAAGGTTTTATATATTATAGTTTCAGGAGCAGATATATTGATATTGATAGTAGGCGTATTAGAATTGATATTATTGAATATGGCCAATGGATTTGTAGAGTTGGCTATTGTGGTGATTCAAGTCGAAATTGGAATCAAAATTATCAAATTAAAATCGTTGTGTACAAGTAAGTATAATCAAAACTGGGCTGTTATTAACAACAAGGCTTTTTGAAAAATTGAATATATTATCACAGGGTTGATACAGGTTCTAATAGGTATTAAATAAAATATATAATATTTGATAAGGAGAGAAGAAGGCATACAGAGCAACGACAACAATATAATAGATGGATACCTAAGGCATCCATCCGAGCTAGCTAGGAACGGGTAGTGAACCCGTGACAAACTCTGTTTAAATAATCTTATATTTATTATTATATAAAGCGTTTAAAATAAATAGAGTAAACAATTTTTAGATATTTAAATTATCAATTTTTATAATTATAATTAATCTATCATGATCGAGATCAATATATATATTAATGATAATAATCTAATAAATATAAAGAATTTTATTATAATTACAAATCCTGTTTTAAATTCAATATGTCGAAATATTATTATAAAATCCTTTTAAATAGAATATTTCGATATCATATGATTATAAAAGATATTATTGAAAAAAATTTATTAAATTTTTAATTAATAATTGTTTTAAAATGAAAATATAAATCTAATATATAATATAAATATCATTAGCTATATAGTATTATAAATATTATAAACAAATATATAAACAACTAGTTAAATAATAACTAAATCTAGTAATTAGAAATTATTATAAATAATCAAATTCTTTTCAATATCTTCTAAAATACGAAATAGAGAAATTGTTTATATAAATTAATCTTAGAATCTTTCTATTATTAATGTCTTTTATAATAATAATAATAATAAAGAAATTTAAAAAAAGAAAGAAAAAAAAGAAATCTAAAGAATATTATAGAAATAAAGATAGAAATAGAAACAAAAATAAGAAAAAAAATAGAAAATATATATTAGATATATAATAAATAGTAGTAGAACACTATAATATTAATCTCGAAGTTTTTTAAATTAGTCATTTTTAAATACTCTCGATTCTCTTTTATTACGAAATATATTGACTGCATTTGCATAATTGAATATAGCGAAGGAAGATATAGATTTATGTTTTTTATCTTGTAATATTACTATTATTCAGAAATTTTATATAAAAGACTTATTATCTCAAGACTAGTAGTAGTCGTTTTCTATCTATTCAATTCAGTATCATTTCTTTCAAATAATATTGTCTTCACGATTTCACATGGTTTTCTCAAACCTATATAGATACAATCTGATAACAAGTCAATAATCTATAAACTAAAGAGAATGTCGCCCCTCAATCTTTATATTCTAGGATGTAGAGAATTGCGATATATGAGTAGTATAACATGAGATTTCTAAAAATTGGATTTCCGGGGGCGGAGGGCTTGGGTTTTGTTTGAAGGGCCATGAGGGGTGGTAGTAGGAGTGAAGGTAGGCAAATTAGATAGTGATGTAAACTATGATTTTGGTGTTAATAATCAATTTCTTGCTGTCACTTTTATTGCGCAGACTAAGATTCATTTTTTATGTGTTCCGGGCCATAGCTCAATATCCCCATTGTGAAATGCACTTAGCTCATTGCTAAATGAGCTAGGTTTCGGAGTGAGCTAGTTTATATGATTCATGAGGGCATTCCGAAATGAGTTAAGCTCATTTACAAATACCTTAGGAGTCTATTTCATTATATATATACATGAATTCCTTTCATTTTTTCACTTTGTATATCAAAAAGATATCCTTAATAAAGGAAAAGGGTATTAGAATAGCTAATAATGATAAAAATGATAATATAGTTGAAAATGAGAGCAATAATAAAATTGATAATGATTTTTTGCTTATTTGTAGAAGTAAGTATTAATGAAGTAATAATATAATATATATATTAACTTATTGTATAATATATTAACTTATTATACAATATCCTTAGTTTATTGTATAAATCATTTTCTATATATTAAGTTGATTTCGGAATGCTCTCATAAATTATATAAACTAGTTTATTGTGAAATAAGCTAGCTCAATCCGAAACCTAGTTCATTTCGAAATGTACGTAGGGCATTTCACAATGGGGATATTGAGCTATGGCCCGGAACATATGAAAGCGATAATATGTTCTGGTGACAAGAAATAAAATCCTTAAGGTGGTGAGCCAATTTGAATTAGTATGTTTTGATACTATTACTAATTCCTATTCAACTTTATTATCCCCGTCTGACGCGAGACTAGAGATATTTCGGCAATAGAGTATATGAGATTAGCTCTAGGCGAAGTCGATGAATGCATAATTACAAGAAAAAATCAACAAGTACCTTCTTCAGAAGTCAGAATCAGGACCTTGTGAGCCAAATAGGGATTTCATCACTTGAATCGTTCCGATGAGATATCGAATATGGAGTACTAGATTGTACGTATTTCATAAGGGGTAGATAATTCCTTTCTCGCTATCATTTTGCCACTAACCATAACCGACTACTCATAGGCCCTCCGTGACAACAACCAGGGCATGTTTAATAGTAAGGTATCCTTAAGCAGTGGTCTTCAACCTGAACATTTTTAATGCTATAAATTATAAATTGGTATATGATATCTATGCTTCCTTTCCATGCGCACACATCTTCAATACCTTCTCATATCAAATCTACTAAGTAGTAAACAACATGTAAATATACCTATCTACCCTAATACGACTTTCATACACTATCTTTAATCTAGACATATAGGCATATTTCTCCAGCACTCCTCGACTATTTTTGCGACCTGCAAAAATCTCCTCCCATTCTTTGAACATCTTTCTTGTGATTTGAAGTGTTAACAATCGAGTGGAAGAACCCTCATATTATTGAATGAAATAGGCGCGGAGTATTGAATCGTGTGGAGATATTTCCCATGCTAGTCGATACCGAGATGCTTTGGGAAGGTCGTGAGCTGGATCTATGCGTCTTTTGAGATCTTTTAGCATTAATCTCGTCTTGATCAGATCAGTGATTTCATCGAGAAGGTACTTGTCAGCAAGAATACTGAGTTGAATAAAAGTCTCCAGATGGATGTGGAAGCCCTTGCCAGTGAAAGTAATTGGTCCGTGGTGAGGAACATCAGATACCCAATGCACTAAAACTAAGAAAGCTTCAGGGTCGTCTTAGGGGAGAGTGCATGATTGTGTGGCAGTTTCAAGCCACCCATTATTGAATATGGCATTGAAGAAAGGTATGTTTCGGCATAGAGGTGTTTTAGGTAAAATTAGCTTTATGGCTTGGTGACCTTCGCCGACTTTGATGCTGCGAGACATGTCCGAATAGTCTAAAGGGATCAAGTGGAGAAATCAATGCTAATGGGAAAAGACCGAGCGAGCAGGATGACTGATGGCATAGGGTACAAAAAGATGTGTACAATTTTTGATGCGAGTACTGTTATCACAAGTCAACAATTGGGTATGAAGCGTGGTAATCATGTTAGAATTGTTGGGATATGTAGTTAGTCTTCGGGGTCGGATGATTATTTAAGGGGAGCAGGCTGGTCTCCGGATGACAGAAAAAGGGGCAAGTCACGTGTTAGAAATACAAGCGAAAATATGATCCCTTTGATACCCTGTCGCTGCATAATATGGATGAGAGAAAAAATATAGGGTTACTTTCCTCATATACTTAGCTTTCAACTCATAAATAAAATATGATACCATCATCATTTTACAGATATCTTACAATTGATTGCATTCTTGATCATATTCAAGCACTCTATGAATCATACAAGACACGAATATTTGATGTCTAAATATCCGATCAAATACAAACTCACATTCAAGCATCAAGGAATTAGGCTGTGTCTGCTAAACACAGACTGCCTGGTGAATAATACCTTCAATCATCGATGGGATGGGAGATTGTTAACCGAGATTAAGTCTAAGGTCGACTATGCCACTGATGTAACATTGGAGTGAATCTGGGTAAAGGAGGCTAGTGCAAAGACCTTTCACACAGCCTTGCTTTTAGCTTATTTTCGAAGGATTTGTGGATGAAAGTGATACTTATTCTGTGAAGCAGACTTTGGAGTCTTAATAAACCCATAGCAATCAACCAGCTTGTACCTTGCACTTGCACAAAGAAACCTGTTTCCTTTTTACATTAGGAAGTTTATTCGAATAACGCTGGCAACTTGCGAAGAGCTCTTTACTTCCTGTTGATCGCATTTTAGTGCGAATTCTCCCTTCGTGTAAGTCAAGTTTTCAGTCGATCTTATATTGCGTTCAGCATCTATCGATGTATCCTTGCTGACTTGTCCCTCCCAATTCTAGTTATATTACTACAACCCAAGTTCCATCCCCAATCTAGTCGCAATCAAAATGTCCTCCAACGACACGCTGATACCCTCCGCAACGTCTGCTGATTCAAAGGAAAGCAATCTGAACATCCAACAGACAGTCAATTCTCAAGCCCTCGGTAATTCGATGGAGGAATACCTTCGACATATTGGATCTCATCTCTCATCCGAGTATTTTTCCATGCCACAAATTGATAGAAAAATAAGCTAACTTGACTTTCACTAGGGAACTAGGCTCTATTATTCTACGGATCGAAGTTGGCAGTAGCAAGCAGCCTGGTGGCACCGTAACCTTTCAAGTACACCGAACGCTTCTATGCACAAAGATTCCAATGTTTCAACGGGTCTTCAATGAGGACTTTAAAGAAGCTGTGGATCAAGCTACCAAAATTGCGGACGCTGTCCTGGCAGACGATGATCCTAGGGCTTTCAAGTTACTGGTCGGTTGGATGTACAGCAATAGGATCGAGGGCGATCTTGAAAAGGGTACTGATACTGTCGACACGATTTCATCCAAGGGGTCGCTTAAAGGACTACTCAAATCGATCAAACTCCCCATCTTCATCAAACTATGTATCCTAGCCGAAAACTACGAAATGCCCCATCTTCAGGATGAATCCATCGATTTCCTCGTCCAGTATATGATTGATACTAGAACAAGTCCCAATCCTTCGTGCTGGCTCGAAGTATACAAGAACACAAGTCGCACATCCAAGTTAAGGGTTTTGTTCGCACGAATTGCCGTTTGGCAGTTGTCGCAAGAGGGTGGACCGAATGGGGCGGAGGCTATGGATATGTTGGTACTATCTCGCAGCCGGGATTTACGTCGCGATATATCAATTCTTATGGAGGGTAATTTGGGAGGTACTCTGGCAGATCCGTTGCTGGCGCCGGCGTGCGATTACCATAGTCATGGAACTGTTGATGAATGTCCTTGTTCGAAAGGCTAGATACAAGGTTTTAGATCGTGCTAGAAGGATGTTTGCATGCGAGCGCTTAGGGCCTGGCCTAGAATGTTCTATACTGATATTGCGGCTTCATTGAGGTATTAGCTGGGACATGTAAGCAGACTATCTATGACCTATTTATGAAATCGAGAGCATAACATTAATTACCAACGACATTCTGAACTGCTATGGTGACTCCTGGAATGATGCAAGATGTTTCAATATTAGCTTCCTCACTCAACTCATTTTACAACGTATCAATTTACTCGTTCATATGCCGATAAAAAGATACTTCTATTATGAACCTAGAAAACAGACGTGAACATGTTTTATATTTTGCAATCATACTCCATCGTTTAAAGAGCAAAGTATATACGCACATCACCCCGCCATTATTGTTTGCCATTGATTCAAACAATGGAACCTGCCACACCAGCCTGTGTGACCCCACCCCTCAGTACCAGCCTCTGGAACCTATGCTGCAGTTGACTTTCCACCATATAGGCATGGCTCGTCCTTCTTGTGTTGATGATAGTCGCAATCAGGTTCCATGAACGGAGACTGAACACTTTGTCCTAATCTTCCCCTCAGGAGCTGACTGACATCCCGTGCAAAATCAATGCTATCGTACATTATATTTTGGATCTGCTCACTACTCCAACCATCCATATCTATCGTAGTATTATCAGGGTTCCCAATAGCATAGGCCACTACCCTCGAGAAAAAGAGCCTTAGTCTGGATCTGGCATGTGTTTTCTCATACACATGTTTAATAAAGCTAGAGCTTGGTATATGACTCCAGCCCAAGCGACGGCACTCACGAATAATGCGATCGATTGATGAGTCCATAAGAGCTGACACATTGTACTTCTCGGCAAGGATAAACAAGGTTGAGAGAGGAATAAGAAAGCTATCATCGGGAAAATTCTCACTGGCGATGCTACCAGTGTAGAGCCACGTAAGTAATAGTCGGAATGCGTCGGGGTCATCTTCAGGAAGAGCAGCGGACTGTGTGGTAGCCTCAGCAAAATCGCCCATAAACATACACTTAAAAAATGGTACTCTAGCGCAGAGGATCTTCCGGCGGATAGCGAATTTGACTTTGTTGGTGCCAGAGCCTCCAACCACGGTTTTCACGATATCTGTACCGAGAACCCTAGATTTGTCAGTAGAGATCCGGAATATTGATGGGCGATGCCTGGGGTTCTTACTCGCTGTAGCGTTGCACTGAATTGTTTTTAGAATCGATGTTGCCCTCAGTCAAAGCCATGGTTGCGAGTCGATATGATGTTGTGGGTTGTTGGTCGTAGGTAAATATGTGGAAGGAGATGTTGGTGAGAATGATGTGGTATATTGGCAAACATGAAAGATTGAAAGCTTTTAAGTTATCGGGAACTCGCGAAATCGAATTCAGTCCAACGTTTCGAGTGCCGTACGTAGCAGCCGTAGATCTTTGATGATCATCATTACGAGTGTTTCAGAAGAAATTTCAGATTCGGGATCCGTAAAGATCAGAAGGCTAATCACCAGCGTCATCACCATTCTGATCCACATCGTTCTTATTATCATCATTATCATCATCATCATGAGAATCGAAGTCTTCTGTACCATGAACAATCCGCTTGCATATTTTGCTCTTTTTACCCGCATTCTTTTGTCGACGAATGGACACTTTTCATCCTTGCCATGCTGGTGATAATCACAAGCAGATTGAAGCAATGCATCGACTACTTCCGACTTCTTCCTATTTCTTATTTTAGGGACAATCTCAAGGAAAAGGTCTGGAACGCTGCTGAGAAGCTTGGATATCGTTGTGTCGCTCCAAAGATCTTTATTTGAAAATGGATAATCATTGAACATCGCATCAACTACCAATCTAAAGCATAAGAGTCGAAGCTTTGATGTAGGAGGGGTATTTTCGTATGCATACTCCACATGTTCGGGATGCAGAGTTTGGTTCAAAGATCTGAGCTCTTCCACGATGCAAGTCATTGCCTCATTTTGAAGGGATTGGAGGATGTATTTGTCGGCGATGACAAACAGGTAAAAAAGGTCGGTGATACGGTCTATACCACTCGTGGGTTTTTCAATCGAGCCGGTATAGACCCAACCAACTAAGAGACTAAACCCACGGGGATGATCGTCAGGCAAAGTCGAGCGTTGGGTTTGAGCTTCCCGAAATCCACTGTCGAACATTGCAGCAAAGAAAGGAATCTTCATGCATAATATTTGACGATGGATTGTGAAATTAGCTTTCATGTTGCCAGTGCCGACCTCTATATCGACCATTGCACTACCCAAGGTGCTGAAGCAGGGGTTAGCTAAATACTCTAAAATAACCAAAAAAGTGAGTCTATTCTAATTGAAATGATTCTCAATATTCTAGACTAGTAGACTAGATGTGAAAGCTTTCTTGTCGGCCAATCTAGGCCATTCCTTCTTTTATTGGGTGATTCTAGGCTACACTGAGCCTAGCCCTTTTGATTTGTAGCTTTTCTTTGGAAGTGATTGGCTATAATAGGCCATTTCATTTCCACTCTAACTAGAGCAAGAAATACGATACCTTTTATTATGGATTCATAGTTGAATATCTCTGGTGTTTGAAAAGTTTTCAACATTTGAAACGATGTCAAATTTTGGACACCATGCAAAATTAAAAATCTATGCAATACTTCAAATAGGTTCAAGAATCAAGAATCTGACTGCAGCTTGGAGTATTGAAAATGTTGGGGATAATGGACTGGAAATTTAAATATCAAGAATGTAACAGTTGACTTACTTTCCATAGTATGTGGACCCAGAGGCATGGCTTGAATGGCAGGAAGAGTCATGAGAAGACTTTGTTACTTGTAACTCCTCAATGGATGTGTCGGATATGTCGGTGTCACTGACTATGTCAGATGTATCGGATAAGACATCAGTCTTTATTGTAAATTTGTTATGTGTTTTCATTGTAAATTTGTTGTATATATCGAGGTTAATCGAGCAAGGTGAGATTGTATAGACACAGAATACGATCTGTCAAATGAAATTATTAAGAACATTGACTATTAATTGCCTGAGAAGTTGCGAAAGAGTAGTGATCTGGTTTTTATGGAAAGAACTTTTCATATCAATTTATATCTGTGGGATAAAACTACTGTGTGAGGCTAAAATCTAGCGTTGGATGACTAACTTATTCGCCCCCCTTTGGCCCCTAGCACAAGCAAATGCGAATTTCTTTAGAAATATATATCAAAACAACCAATAATTGAATTAACTCCAAACTGAGTACACTCATAGATCTACTTCTAATAAATATTCTGACGAAATTTCAAAAGTTTTAAAGCATCAAAACAATCTGTGTTTTGGAAGTGAAATAATGAGCCTTTCATGGGGTTCGCTTAGCTAATTTGGCGTGCCAAACTAGCGAAGTTTTTAGTAGATTG